TTTAGTGTCTTTCAGTTCATTGTTTTGGTTTTAAAATCAATTAATTTTGCTAGCTTGTGCTCTTGGACCTAGACGGTGTCAGACCCCCCTGTCTAGAGCCTGTCTGGCCCATTAATTTGAAAGACAAAAACCATTGTGTTTATCACTGGTATGTGACTACCAGGAAGGTTTCTGCAAAGTTTATTTAGATGTAAGAGTTTTTTAATACCACATAAATTTAATTTAATTTAGTTGGCGTGCCCTGGTGGCTCACCTGGTGCAGCGCGTACCATTTGGGCTTGGTCCTTGCCGCAGCGGCCCTGGTTTGGGTTTGGTCTGTGGCCCTTTGCTGCATATCACCCCCCCCCCCCCCCCCCCCCCCACAAAAAAAAAACACTTTTCAGGACCTGCAGATACCCTGCAACCTTTAGCCACAGCTGAGCAAGGAAAACAAACAATTTTGTACTAAAAAAGACCATTTGATCTGTTTCACTCAGATTGCTAAAACCTCATGTAAAGTCACTGGTTTTCGTCACCATCATGGTCTTTTACTGTGAACTTACTCTCAACTTTAAGTTGAAGAATACAGCCAGTTTATTCTGGAGAAAAAGCACTGAAAATGTTGTCTGTAGCGGTGCAAACGAGGGCATTCAAACCATCAGACATTGGTACTTTTCTGGTTTCCACCGAGTGTGGCTGAAAACACTGAAAGCAGAAGCAGACCTGCAGCAATAAAATGCTGCTGCTGCTGCTGCTGCTGCTCTGATAGCTCTGCTGAAGATTCATTTTGAATGCATCATTATCAAGCTCAGAACATACCCAGTCTACAGTGGCACTTAGTTCTCCGAGTAAATCAAACCTCCCACTTGGAGGAGAGCAGCTCCTTCACTGTTATGATGTACTCCACCAAGCACCGAGCAAACCGAGCTCTTTCTATCAAACACAGTGTAACAAACAAAAAATAACTCAGTAACACAAAACACAGTCTGTAACTGTCAGTGGACACAATGTAAGGAATCTCAATTCAGTGTGTGAGCAGTGATGCCCTGTTGAGCTGTACAGTAATGTGTACACTGAAGGTACCAAATGCTGTAAATGCTGCTGGTGTCAGGCTGTCTGCAGACACTGTCCAGAGGTATTTGGCAGTTTCTCTCGAGACCAGGTTTACCGTAACCATACATTAAACTGTTTGGTGCTTTGCAACTTCTTTTCACAGTAAATCATTTGCCCTCAAAACATCACTTTGAGAATACTTACCATTATATCATAACACACACAACAGTGTGCACGACTTTCAAAATTATAATTTAAGAATTTGATATAACATGATTTAAGTTAATTCTTCTTAAGAGGTGGAATAGGATATACTATAGTTTGCCCAAGAGGACATTACATAACATGAAAAATGAGATGTCATTTTTATGTTAATGCTGTAAAAATCAAAGAAGTTGATTTTCTTGTCCTGTGATCTGACCTTTCAAACTCTGTGACCTTGACTGTGTTTGAATTTACATTGTAGAAGATATTTAGAGTTAATCCTGTTAGTGGCTAAAAAAAAAGCATCAACATTTCTGAGAGATTTGGCCAACTCTTTCACAACAGAGGATTGAATCCACACACTTAACAAGAAATATTATAATATTAAAGGGAAACCCCAAGAAAGCTTTGGGATTTCCATATGAATTTTGGTTTTCAGAAATATTTTGCAACTATTTATAAGAAGTACTTTTAATTACAAGTACTTTTAATTTCAATTCATAGACCTTATACGTTTTACACTTGGTGTATGTGTATATATCATTTTTGTCTGTGGGTTCCTTTTGTCAGACCCTGTACATTGCAGTTCATGTTATGAGTGGTTTTATTTATTTGTCTCAACACAGATGTACATCCACTGAGAATATTATTAGAAACACCTGCTTACTCATGTAATTATCCAATCAGCCAATCATGTGGCAGAAGTGCTCCTGCAGGTAAAGTTTGGGAGCTTCAGCTGATGTTTACATCAAACATCAGAATGAGGAGAAAAATGTGATCTTAGTGACAATGACTCTGTCATGATTGCTGATGTGACGACTGGTTTGAACATTTCTGAAACTGGCATTTTCATGCACAACAATCTCTAGAGTTTTTACTCAGAATGATGCAAAAAACAAAAAAACATCCAGTGAGCAGCAGCTCATGTTGATGAGCGAGGTCAGAGGAGAATGGAAATACTCTTTGGAGCTGACAGAAAGGCCACAGTCACTTAGATAACCACTCTTTACAACAGTGGTGAGCAGAAAAGCTTCAGAATAAACCAAACGTCCAAACCTGGGGAGGATGGACCACGGCAGCAGAAGACCACGTCAGGTTCCACTTCCTGTCACCAAGAACAGAAACCTGAGGCTGCAGTGGACACAGACTCACCAACACTGGACAGTTGAAGACTGAAAAACGTAGCCTGCTCTGATGAATCTGGATTTCTGCTGAGGCAGCAGATGGTCGGGTCAAAATTTGGCTTCAGCAGCATGAATCAACCTGCCTTGTGTCAACAGTCCAAGCTGCCGGTGGTGGTGTGATGTAATGTTATGGGGGAATGTTTTCTTGGCACACTTTGCCCCTTTAACACCAATCAGTCATGGTTTGAATGTCGCAGCCCATTTGAGTACTGTAGCTGACCATGTCATCTATCTACCATAATCTAATGGTTACTTCCAGCATGACAATGCACCATGTCTGAAAGCAAAAGTCTCCTCATATTGGTACTGCAGTGGCCTCCCCAGTCTCCAGACCTGAATCCAGTAGACTACCTCTGGGATGTGGTAGAACAGGAGATTGGCAGCATGAATTTGCAGCTGACAAATCTGCCGAAATGATGCGATGCAGTCATGTCAGCATTGTTTAGTTAATGCCATATAGAATTGAGACTGTTTTCAGAGTCAAGGGAGGGCTTGGTGAATGTGCTGTAATTCAGTAACAAGTATAATGATGAGTAGGCATCATTAAACTGTTAGACTACTTGTATATTTCATTTGACAACAAAAATAAACAGTGATGGTATGCAGATCCTTTACTTTTTTCGGATTTTATTGTTGTTTGCTCTATCATTTGTGCCACAATTGGACTGTATATCAGGAGCACCGTGAGAAATCCCAGTGGGCCGGCACAACCCGAAATTAGACAATAGACTTACTACAGCACAGCAATAAAAGCCCTGTTAAGAAATAAAGGGTTTCTGTCCACTAAAATGCTAGAGGGCTTTGAAATGCTTACAGGAAGTGTTGAGTTTGTATTAACAGTTAATGCAGTAACTTTAACCTGTTACCCTCTGTAGTTGAGGTAAATAAAGGTCCCCGTCTCTATTTGAGGAAATGTGGGAGTTGAAAACTCTTGTGGATCCACTGTAAACACCCCCTGATGATGTTATAGAGACTGTTTGCAATAAATAATTTCGAAAGAGCAATGGCCAATGGGAAAGTTCCAACACTCAGCAGACCAATGGTGTAATTTTTATTACTCAACTCTACCACTCAGTCACTCAGTCTGTCGGTCACAGACATTTGCAGATATAACATTAGCCAGTGGCCAGTCCAGCCAAAAAAACTGGTGAAAAACTTCACATTTTATATTACAGTTAAATATTAAATATCAGTATTAATAACCTTTATTATTATGCCAGCTTTGTTGTCATAGTAATACAACATGCTCTCTGGCTTTGAATTTTCTGCACAGCTATAGAAATAGCAGCTTTAAATTTTAAATGGAGCTCAAAGAAATGCTGATGCACCTCAGCCCTCAACAGAGTCCACACCTGAGGCAATTAAAAAAAATCAGACTGCAGTGAAAGCTCCTGAAAGCTGAGAGCTTCAGACACAGTCCAGTAACTAAGTAGTTCACATGAACCGTCATCTGCACCCTAAAACGCAACAGTACATTCAATTCTCCCGTGTAGATGTACACCATGAGTACAAATCATCATACAGCTTGTCCCTGAGATCCTTTCCATTCAGCACAAGATACACACCTTATATAATCTAACCATAATGCCACAACGCTGAGCCCCAGCACTTAATCCACTCAATCAAACAGGAGCTAAGGCTTAAAAAACATCTCTCATCAAGTCAAGAGTGAATATTTCTGGCATATTGAACCAATTAAATAAAAAACTACAGGCTGAGTTTATGTAATCTAGATGTTATAACACGGGCCTGTCAGGACGCAGCAGATTCACTTCTCACGCTGATTTTACACAGAAGGAGTCATTTCGCTCAAAACTCTAATCCAATTCTTCCACCTCTTTTCTCAGGACTTGAAAGACAATCCATCTGTTCCTCCTGGCCGCTGTTCAATCACGCCGCCTTCTGTTGTGTGGGCCGGAGGTGAGTTAAATGTTTCTACCACTCCACTGACAGCTGGGGGAGTCAGGGACACGGTGGCATCTCGCTGCTATAAAGATCACGGCTGGAGTCCTAATTCATCACCCCAGGCGTCATCATGTGGCATTACAATATGCTAATGTAGCGACGCCGTGCCCTCGCCGTCACCTCGTTCGCTCTCTTTCATCTCTCTCCCTCTTCCCTCCACCCCAGGCCGGGTTGTCCTCCCCCTGGATGGCTGTGAGTTCCCCCCCTTCTGTGATGTGCACCTTGCTGCCAATATGTGGTGGGGGCTGAAAGTGATGTCGAAGCTGATGTTGGAATTAGCTGAGCATTGCGTGTAGTTGTCTGGCTGCAACTGACGAACATGTAATTAGCCCATGGTGACGGCGCTACAACCATCTCCATTTAATAAGCACTGGCTCCCCCTCAACTGGTGATTCACCGCCTCACACTCCTTCAGATGGGATAAAAATAGGAAAACCTTTGTAACAGGTGTCGCTTTGTGGTGGAAATTTGTACAGTTGGGATTTCACAGAGATACAAAGAGGATTACCTGGTAAACATGCCGATGCTGACTAGATGTTTATGAAGCTGATATAATATGCATATTTACTGCATTGCTATCGTGTGAAAGTTTTGTGTTACATTATTACACCTTACCCCGTGCGACGGATACGTTAGCCAGCCCCAGTCTCCAGTGATCGTCGTGGTGTCCAGTAGATTCACTGCAGAGAAAGAACAAAACAACAAGAAAGGTAAGTGATGAACTTTAAATGATTGGTTTTTTTTTTGCCCCGTCCATACTGCCCTTCATCACCATCCTCTGTGCACACTGGCACTCGACAGAGTCACGCTTATACACACATACAACTGTCTGACAGGTGTGACTGATGAGGAAGCACTTTCGTAACGGCAACTCTGAGCCGGGTGTCACAGTGTGTGATGTCACCTTGACCTGGCTCACCCTCGTAGCGCCTTGGAGCCAAGACCTCAGTGGTCCAGGCTCAGAATAGAACAGGAAACAAGGTAAATGTGCAGTGTGAAAAACAATCTCAGCAGCAACAAGCTGGAAGTCTATATATTATAATATAATATAAAATAAACTGTTGATTTCAATATGAAAGGTCGAAGTCAAGGTCACCAGTCTGACTGCAACTCAATCACTGCTGTGTTGAGCCTTTTTTTTCTCCTTCTTTTGAAGTTATAAATAACAGATCTACATATAAGCATTCATTACATCACAAGTTGGGTACAAAAGAACATAACATATAATAAATTAACAAAATATGCAAGAAAAAATTACTAACACCTTTATTCATTCCGAACAACCAAACCAAAATTTAGCTGTTGCTAGCTAACAAATTGACTGTAGTTTACTAGTGTGCATGTTCAGCTCAGCCTGATCTAGGAACTCACCAGGAAACTATAAGTCCAGTTTTTTCTTCTCATCTCTGTATGAAGTCGTGGGATTTAATTTGTCATGCTACATGTCAGACACGTTATTTTAAAATATATCACTACAATCTACAACTACGGTATTAAAGACCCCCTCCAAAAATCAAGTTTCTAACCTTGTTAACATGTCCATATGGTGTTTTTTTATATAATACAAGACATCATGAGCAAAATCAGCCATCAACACCATGACTGAATATTTCCACCTTGGAACTGCAGTGAACCAATGACAGTCTAATAAAAACAAATTCAGACAGCCAAGGTTTCATACGTCACAAACCTAAGGAACCAATCCTGTGAACTTGTGGGGACAGGGGGCGGGGCTAAAAAAACCTGAAACCTTGTCAGGCCAGAGAGAGAGAGTTAGCATTAGCACAACCACTACCACTGTGTCAACCACTGCCAGTTACAAGCTAACAAACAAGATAAACAAATAAATTATGCTAACTGTGCTAACCCTTCTGATATGTTTGCCAGTCTCTGGTTCTGGTCTCAACAGACTTCTCATCTGAGTCTGGGTCTGACTGAGGTTCGAACAAGAGTCTGAGTCTCTGATATTTCCTCTAACGGCAAACATCTTGATATTCTCTCACTTGTCTGGCGAATGTCTGTGCAGCCCATGTATATTCATCCCAAACAGTCAATATGGACGATCGACTGGTTAACTTAAGCCAGCAAACCAGTTACATACTGACCATACTTTGTGGCTGTTCGTGTTCAGCTCAGCCACAGATCTCAGAACAGAAATTCAATTTCTTTCTGTTATTTTCCCCCAGTTTCTCTCCATTTTCTTATTGTCTCTATTTATGAACTCCTCCCATATAATTTGTGGGCTATTTGCCAGGTACATTTTTGTTAATATTCACTGCATTATAGAATATGAATTATTAAATATTTCACTGCCATCTAATTGTTTTGGGCATTTTTGAATCATTTATTTTGTTCAAGAGTACAAATTAAGTAAAAAAATGGCTGACGGTTAGCATTGTTAGCTTAGCTTATCATTGGCTTGATTATACTGGTATTATAACTGAAATAAAAGTTTTATGGTAAACACAGACAGTCATTGTGTAAATGTGTGCTAAAATGTGCCAATACAGATGGTGCTAGCTGGCAATATACAGACTACTTTGCGAGCTGACTGCTAGACATGCTGACTGCCAGTTTGCTTGTCTGATTGAACTCCAAACTCTCTAGTTCTTCCTGTTTTTTTGCCATTTTCTCCCTTTCTTCTTTTCTCTGTGTTTTATGTATTAGAATCACAAATTCCCACGGTAAGCACAAATTTTAGCTTAGTTATAACAATTCTAACTCACACAGATGTGTCCTCGCTGCCTGGAGCTTTGCATCTGTTTAAGCCCACTTACATCTTTCCATTAACTACTCTAAGTATGTAATGTTACCACATTTAAAGATCAGTTCACATCCTGTCTGAACTCACCTTTACCTTTGAGTGATATTACAAGAAGGATGAACAGATGTGGGGAAAAAAATGGATGAAGAACCACTATTTCTGCCCACTGGCAGTGTCCATATCTTCCACTCTAACAGGTGTGTGTGTGTATGTGTGTATGTGTGAGTGTGTTTCCCCTTCAACACCTAATATGATCTCTGCCCCCAGGGCTGCTTGTCAGGCAGCCAAGTGATGTTCCTCACATTAGAATGATTTTAACAAAACACTTCACACTTAGCTTCCCGTCTCTCATCCTTCATCCCTCTATCCGACACTTGCTCTCTTCCTTGTCTCTACTTGCATGTTAAACCTACAATCTGCAACGTTTTTGTTTTGAAGCAGGAAGTGAACTGCAAGGCCTGACCTCCTCCCCCTCAGCTGGCCAAGTTCACGTCCCGATGTACTTTTTCCTCATATTGATGAGATAAACACTCAGAGATTATCTTGCATCACTCTGGTAATTTAGAAAATGTGCACACTGAAAGTTCAAGAAATGTTAGACATCACATGCTCTGAATATGCACAGTTTTGTAGGTGCTTCATAGTCCACTGGCAAGAATGAAATTATTAGGTTACTTTTAATTTTTAATTTTTTAATAGCTGATAAGTAGCTATAATGGCTAAAGAAGAGAGAAAACAGCACCACTAAACTTGATCAAAACCAGAATAACCCAACCAACTGTACGGGTTGTGACAAGTTACATTTGCTGCATTAAAACTGTGTTTTCACTTCTGCTTAACTTTTTGGAAAACTTTTATTGCACCTGTCGGTTGGGACAACAAACACCATTATTATTCTTTTAATGCTGGACTAATACCTTTTTGGCCACTAGGGAGTAGAAGAATTACAGAACGTATTATTGCCTTAAAAATTGCTTCGACTAATGTGTTAGCAAGTAGTTACTGATATATCTGGTAAACATGAGGCAACAACACCCAAGTAGAGTTGAATGCAATACCCACAAGTCTTATAGCTTTGTTTTGGTTGTTAACTTAACCTGATGTTTCGCAAGTAAGTTTACTATGTTCATTAATTTAGTTTAGTTTGTTAGCATGCTAACATTTGCCAATTAGCACTAACCACAAAGTACAACCAAATCTGATGGGAATGCCATTCGTTTTGGTCAAAAACAAAATACCTGCAAATAGAAATTCTGACCTGATGATGGTGCTAAAGACAAAATTCAGGGAACATTCAGGGAATGAAGCTCAGCACAAGTCCAATCGGGTGGATTCAATCTCTATGCCTCTTTCGTTCACAATTCTCTCATGTCTCTCACCCCACTTCTTGCAATTGACATCTGACTTCAGATGTTTTCGGTAATCAGATTTCGCCACAATCTCAACCAGCCAATAGCGTTGTCACTGTCAAACTTTAATATCTGTTCTCCCCTCTTCAGCTCTCAGCTATCATTTCAGTGTGTATTGCTGCGACTCTCCTCCACACTGTCTCCCTCCAGTCTTCACATCCAGTGAGTTCACTCCTCATCACATCCAGATCTCCAGCATTCTCTTCTTCCCATCACCACCACCAGTGTCTAGACCCCGGGATGTTTCCTATACTTCACACAGCCTCACCGCTTTTCCAAATATGATAACATCACAATAGGGTATAATCGCCAAAGACTCAGACAGAATGAAGTATCTCCTGATTGAACTACAGTTATGATATGAATGTCTATAATCAGCTGGTAATCCATCCAATTGCTATTTCAGCCTGAAGTGGTGGACCAGCCACTGCAGAACTGATAATTCTGTTAATATATAAAATACAAATGAATGTAGCTTTAAGAGCTAAAAGTTTGGAAACTTTAACAAACTCTCAGTGTAGCTCTGCCCAACTTGCCCAACAGTCTTTAAAAAGAATCTAATTAGCCACAATAACTGAAAATACCTGTGTGGGCTGACAGGGCTTTAACACAAATGATGTCCAAAATATCACTGATTTTGCAGATCACTTTATTAAAACTATTCCAGGAAGTCAGTCTCTTTGGTGGCTCAAAATAGCAGAAGTCAGCCATTCCTGAAACTAATGAACTTCAATAGCAAGATAACTCTTTTAATGTGACAGATAATTGCACACTGGATTCTTGTGTTGAACAACCATATATTTAAGCTGGGTTAGTCCAACACTTATTGTGTTTTTACACCTGTGCTGTTTAGTCTAGTTAAACCAAACCCTGGTCTGTTTTCCCCCTTGGCACGATTGGTTTGGGCAGGTGTGAAAACAGTAATCGCACTCCGGTGTGGATCAAAACAATTGCACCAAGACCCTTTCGAGGTGGTCTCGGTCCGGTCCTAAACAAACTCTGGAGCGGTTCGTTTTTGGTGTGAAAGAGTTCTGAACCTGATCCGACCCCACCAGCAGGGGAACTCACAAGTTTGAGCCCAACGGTTCCTGCAACCTGCTTCCTGTGTTTACGTTCCTGCTCCAGCCAGACAAGCTGACCGGTAAGAGCAGTGATGATGCATTTTGGTTCACTTTAATTTTTCTCTCTGTGAAAGCAAACCGAACCAAGGGGAAAATGCTACAGGTTTACAAACTCATCAAGTGGATCGGACCAGAGCAAACCAACTTTAGGTGTGAAAACGCCCTAAAAAGTGCTTCGTTGCTGCTGTTTTGGATAGTTTTATGTTTCGCTCTTAAGTCTCAATATGTTGCTTCCTTTGAGTCAGGAAGTGTCATCACTGATAATTCATGGAGGTAAATGGGATGGGTGTAAAATGTCGTAATGGGGATAGAGCACTCTTGTCTGCTGCAGCTCCACTTCATGATTTAGGCTAATAAGACGGGAGTATTTTTCCATACAAAATCCT